AATATAGTCACCTCTTGTTATAGCACACCTCTTTTTGAGTCACATTTCTTCTCCCAAGGCATGAAATCTGRCAATAATAACAAATCCTTCCAGTGAAGATATTTCTCAATGACCTTCAGGTGCAAAACTCTTTAAATTTCACATAAATTTTATCATAAAGYAATGATGATTGATTTATCATGTAAATAGCACAATTAGAATATATATTTTGAATTAATTTTTAGATTGGCAATGACAACAATGAATACTTATACTATAAAATTCATGTATATCCTGAATTTATCAAATTTATATAATTATAGGTCTGACTGAAGTCAGATCACCCATGAAGTAAATGCAGATTCAATAGACTATAGACCAGAATCACTTGAACCATACAATAGAAACTAAAAAATACTAACTAATAGGAATTATTAGTTCCTGATAATCATTATCACCAAATCAGAAAAGTTAAATGAGCCAGGAAGAAATACCCAAGAGACCACTATAACAAGTAAGGTAATCTCTTTTCTTTATTCTTTGTACTGTTCTGTTTCAGTGATAGTRTCTAAATAGTGCCTTTTTGTTATTAAGTATTTAATTTCTATTTCATRGTTCAAGTGACTCTATGCCTTTTGCATGTGTCTTTTGACTTTCTCACAAACTGTTTCATGGGTTAAAATGTCGTCACTTGAAATGTATCGTCAATAGTAGCCCAAGTTTACAGTCTCATTAACATTAAACAAAAGCAATATTATMAGTATGTAACTTACTGGATATGTTGCATTGTTGAGTCACGTGCATTTATTAATGGCAATCAATCAGATGTGAGCTTGGGCTACCTGTGTGTATCTTGTATTTTGAAGGATGCACATTTGCACCACTATTTGGTGGCCTCCATTTTCTAAATTAATTGTAAAATGCTTTCTACAAACTAGGTAACATTTTAATATGTAAACATATTATAGCACACAGATTTTAGAAGACAATAAATTAATATAAATCATTATCTGTAAGTGACCACTTCAAGGGTCACAGTTACTCTTTTTGCCATTGCTTTTTTTTACTTTTCTTTGTTTTGAATTTTCACAAGGAATGTAACTGGACTTGGCTGTCCCATTGTTCATACATTACCAACTTATACAGCTATCTATACAGCTAAACCTTTAGTACATAAGACAGTGTATTCCAAGATGGAATAAATGAGTTATTCTAACACCGTTCAAAAGAAAATTTTGGAATCAACCCACTTCCTCTTCCACGCTCAACACTATCCAGTTCACTCAAGGGAAAACAAGATACGTACCACAAATATATGTATATATATATGTATACAGCCTTTTGCAAAAATTATGAGAAGTGTCTAAATATCTAAATATCATAATATCCATATCCATATTTTGTCCAGAACACGCGGGTTTGCTAGAATAATTCATTGCTGACATCGAGAAAATGTTCAGAAATACGGATAAGTCCGTCGCCAAAAAAAAACCCTAAACTACAAAGACAAGGGACTAGCCTCCTCCGCAGGCATCACTAAGAATCACGGGCTTCCTGTCTTGTCCCTAACGGCCAAAATGACCGTTACAAAGGAAGCCCAAAGGAGGAAAAAAGAGTTGCCTGTGGAGGAGGCTAACAAGGGACAAAGGGCATCGCGCGGGATTACCCATCATGCACTTGATATTATGATATTTAGATATTTCAACAATTCTCATAATTTTTGCAAAAGGCTGTATAGGGGAAAGACTTTTAATAAGTCTAAAAAAGAACTCTAGCTCTAAGGAGAAATTGCCTGTTCCCAAATTCAAAAAGGGACTGGCGATTAGTCACAAACTCGATCCTGTTTGAAGCAATCAAAAAACAGACACAATTACAAGAAAGAGTTTGAGTGTATTCAGATTAATTATTACAGAGTTTCAAGCGTTTAAAACTCGAAAAAATTACAAAGAATGTATGGAGGTTTTGATCAGCGTCCCCAAAAACCATACATTCTCTCTCATTTTTACAAATTTGAAAAAATCCCTACTCGGTGAGTAATCAACCAAATATGCTCAAACTTGAAAAGAACAATTATTTTAGTGTTGTCTTTCATGTGGTGAGGTTCAGTTTTCGACAAATGTAATATTTTCACACTCATTCCCAGTCTCCTTTTGAATTTTGCATCATGTCGTAACTTGCTACAACCAGAGAGCCTTGCGCATCTTCATTGTTATTCAGATTTTTAATCCCCTTGKAGAYTRATAAAACARTTGGCACTMATTGCATTAYAAAAGAAAGTTGGCAAAGCATTCTGGTAGTTGTAGTAAATGACACCATAATGTAAATCGGCTATTGCGACTCCTTTACACTAGTTGGATTTGTCACATCCACTTCTTTTGCTAAAGCAACTWCAGTGTTCTGTGCAAGTCATGTATGTATAATAATTTAGCACATCACTCACATAATCATTCAAAACAAGAGACTACCACCATTATCAAACATATCTTTAATTTCATTGTATTTATCATTGATTTAAGTACATTATATTTCTATTCACCATTTTATAACGTAACTATACCAGAATTTTTCTTTCATTAATTTCCACTTAATGGCAATAAAACATTGCCAAATAATAATTCATATTTCATTTAGAAAGGCATGTGTGATGCTTTGTCCTTAATCTATACCTTCCCAACCAAATGTTTCTTTTTTATTTCTTTTTTCTAGTCATTACAAGAGCTTATTATATTTAATGTTGACCTCACACAAACCCCACTGTTAATATTTTTTCTTTGTCTTTTCRGTGTATTACGCAAGGCCATTGAGAAGGGTTTTAAAACAAAAATTGTTTAAGTCAATGCGGAGAAATCTTACAAATTTTCACTAATTAAAAAAAACTCCACAACATAAAATTCATAAAGAAGCAACATTTACCGTGAAAACAAAAACAGATGCCTAACATATTAATGAAATATTTCCCTTCCCTACTCCTGGTTTTTATTATTGGTTCTAATCACAACAACAATATTGTTCTATTTACAGTTAAACCCTTTAAATTGTAGCTCTATTCAGTCAAGGAATAGAGATTGCCCTACTAGTCRYGCAAGTCAATGCAGCCCAGATTGAAGATTTTAAGAGCATGTCTTGRCTTRCATCTAGTACTTTCCCCTGTATACTTGGTTCCAAACTATAATTCCTATTAGTGTGATAACTATTGTCTTTGGATCAGATGTTGTGAAAACCAATACTATCATGTAATTGATTACGATTTTTTTATACTTGGATGATAAGGTATATTTCACTTGAAAAGTGTACTGATATACCTTCAACCATACCAACTCCCTGGGAGCTGTATTCACTTAGTTTGAAGTCCTTTGTAGTGCGTCTTTCCTTTGGGTCTTTCTATGCTCCTTCTTTATGATTTATCATCAATACAAGTCGTCATAATTGTATGTTTTTATCCTCCATTCATGTATCGTCGTACCTATAATGATAAGAAATGGTTGAGAACTTGTGGACAACTTAATGTGAGGTAATACTGCTTTAACGCAGCTTAGAATGTAACGARAGTCGAKAAGACCTTCTGATGCATGAACGAATATTTCATTTACAGCAAAAAAATTAATTAGAGAGTATTTCTTTAGGCATTACTGTTTCCAGTTTTACCTCCATTAAGTGCAGTTGTGAAAGTACCAGCACAGCAGCAAATTGGAAAAATCCAATATAGAAAACTGAACGCAACCAAACCTGTCAAATCAAATCATATGACAACGTATTAAAAAGTGCTTGTGTGAAAGATATTTACAATTCCTCATCAGCTGTCATTTAAATATACAGGCCCACCACATAGACTAAAAATATACATACCCAGATTTTATCAAATAATATGGCTAATATTGTGAACTCAAAAAATGCATCCGCGCTGGATATCTTCCACAGCCACATAACTATCCATGTACTTCTATAATTAAGGACTTCTGATTGCAACTCCTGCGATTAGAGAAATATATGTTAATATTAGTGTACAATATGTTACACAAACAGCTAACGATCATGAAGYTGCAAAGGAAKCCTGAATTTTGTAATAAGTGCTACGAAATTCAACAAAAGATTTTATAAAAGCATCTATGGGCGGTGAAGTACTCTAATACAAATGTTAATTTTGCACACTAAGATATATTTGTAAAAATTCCTAAAAATTTGCTTCTGATCTTAGAAAAAATAACAAATATAGAAATGTAAAATCCTTTGGAGATCGTCTGAGAACTTAACAACACAACCAATATAAGAGACAAAACTAATAACAAATTGTTTATAAAAGTGATAATGATAGAATGTGTTCACATTTGGTAAACCTGCCCCAATAAGAAGATAAATCAGAAAATTAGAGGAAATCGCCCAAGTGCCATAAATTGTGGAAAGTGAAAAGTGCTTGACAAAGAACAATAGTTAAAGCCTCTTCGATTGCTTCAGCATCACCTAAAATAATAATTTACAAATACTATTTTACAAATAGAATTACTTTGCTCTCTTTAACTTAAAAATCCTGTAAGTGAAAATGTTGTAAAGAAGTACTTTCATTTTCAAAACAAGCTGTTATCACATTTGACACCCGATCAACAGATGATCAAACTTAAGCCAAACACCATACAGTCCCTCAGCAAGGAACAAGGATGGAAATTTGAATAAATTAGTTATAGCTTCAATAAAATTTAATRTTTTATGTTACTAAATTGGATAATACCAACATATGGCTGGCACACTATAACTCCATTACTTGTAAACAACACAAAAGRCAAGAGCACAATSCCATACTCTGACAKCCGCTAAATGAAAACTGAACTCAGTCAGTTACATTGTCATATAAACAGTTGCAATTAATTCCCATCACTATATTACTATATTATAGTTGATAAAGGCTATACACTGTACATCTACTCTGTTCAACACACCTAGGAAATAGGTTTCGAACTTGAAGTATATTACTGACATGATGCTWAAAGTTGGTGTTAGTGCATGATATATATATATATTTTTTCTTTTGGGGTGAACATAAAGGTGTGAAAACATAATTGATGTACAATAACAATACTATATTCCACTATCATCAATTAAGTTGTCACACAAAAACAAAATTGTAACCAAATAATTCATCGTTGTGGAGAGAATTGCTAATATCTTAYGGAGACAGGTTAATCTGAAACATTTATAAGATTTACGGTTTCTCCAACACAAACCAAGTCAACAACACGAGCAAAACTTTACAWTGTACAAACTTTTTGTCTCGTGTTAAAAAAACTGTTTAAGAAATTTCTTATAACCTAATAAGCTTTATAATCATTTCTAGTATCCTGAAAAATGAAATGAAGATGGCTTTCAGAAACATCTACTCTATTTCGAAATATGCACAAACACGACTCTTTGCTTGAAAACTGCAATGCATCAAAACGCATTTTAGCAAAGAGATTCAAATACAACGATTARTGTAGAGAATTTCCGCCTTGGCTAGGATCATTTAAGACGTTAGGGCGTCTTATAAACGCAAAAAGCTGTGACGCGAATACGTGAATAGCATAAAGCTCTTTGAAGAAGAAGGATAGACTGAAGTAAAGCTAATACCTTGCTGTATTGTGCGCTGGGAACCTCAAGAAGTTCGTGATATGAACGCACGTAATAGTCCCAAAACCCACTTCTTGCGACTGTTTGAACGACTGCCATAAATGTCACAAAATTGATGGTTCTACGATCTATATGTACGAATGAGTAAGACGTTTTCTCGTTCTTGCCGGAGTAGTGATCCGTGATAAGGCTTTTRCCCGCTTCGATGTCCTTCTTATGTCGAACTCTTCTCATCGGAGGATATCTTTGTAAAAACACCCCGATAGAAAAACCCAACAAAAATCCACCGGCGAAATCCATGGCGGCGTCCACAAGATAACCAGATGAGCCCCAACCAGAGACGAACTGTTTTTTATGAGCCTGTGCTCGGTAAACAACCCCGTCCAGTAAGTCAAGCGCGTTCCTCAATTCATATAAAACACAGCCTACCCTTCGCAGTGTTAGGCGATCAGAAACAATGAATTTACAAGCAATAATGGCACAGAAAAAATGTAATCCACTGATCACATTTGGTGTAACACCAGGAATGTTTGAGATCCCAAGCTTTTCGTTTGTTACTTCCATCAGTGGCAAATTGATGTAATGGTCGATATGTTCCGTCATTCGAAGTTTAACACTTTTAACTGGGAACATCATCTTCGATGCTGTTGTAGCATTGTAGGAAGATCCATACACAGCTAATTCATCAAAGAAGCTTAGGTCCATCCATAACAGATACGTCAGTAAAACGAAAATAAAATAAAATCCAAAGCTTTCTTCACAACCTGCCATTTTAAAGCACAGTCTAGCGCCAAATCTAACAATTATCAAGAAACTTGAGTGTTTTTTTCAMCGAGAACTCACGCCATTAATCAATTCCTACACTCACGAATAATATTTCTGTTGTACCCAGGGTTTCGCAATGAAAACTGCATGTATTTGCATGACAAAATAGCTGCCATTCATGAAAGAACACCGGCTTCAGGAAACTGCGGAACAACAGTGTCTGCAAATGAGGCCATTCGGGTGTCACCTGATTGGTCAGCTATCATCAGTATGTTTAAAATCAACCAACCACAGCGCTTCTTTGTGCAAATCGACCAAAGTACAAATGACGTCTATTTGATAGCATTTCATAAAACCATCATATAGGGACACCAGTAGATAAACAGCAAAACAACATATAAATAAGAACATAAAAACACAGCATGTATGTTATCTTATTATAAAGACGCAGAAACAGAAACGACGAACAAAATTGTGGTGAAATCACGCGATGTCGCACGACACTTGTAACCTTTCGAGTGCCACAAAAGATCTGCAACGAAGCGAAACATGATTTTTCAGTGTTTACCTTTTATATTCTTGCCTTCATGCTTACTTGCTGCTTTAAACAGATATATTTTTTGTGGGTTTAAAAAATAATATGCTGTCGAGACGGGCAATTACAAACTAGCACTTCATCTTTTTCAAGTTCACGCTTTTAAAATTGTTATTAACTAATCCCTGTGTCCCATTTTGTTCAAAATTAGACTGCGTGCAGTTGGTTGATATCACTTGCAATTACAAGCTATTCAAAATCTATTTTCTTTTAAAAAAGATAAACTCCTTACTTTTTTCTATATTAGATAACTAATTAACAATTAATATAATTGGGCTACCTGTGGAACAGAAAMTTTWMAAAAACATGCAACATTGTCGGGAAAGTTGACTAACGTGTTATTGTAAACACATAAATGGTAGAGTGGTTTTCATTAACCCGTGAAACACACTTTAGCATATTTATTGCTATTACACTTTGGCTCTTTTGTTTTTTATTGTCTCTATGCGACTATTACGATCTATTACACTCTAATTATTACACTTTGTTTCACGGGTTTATGAAACCCACTCTAGTCAGTGACACAACTTTAGACTACTTACTTTATTAAATGTTCTTCATTCTGGGAAAAAAAACCCTACCTATTCTGTACCCTAACCCTAACCCAAGACCAGATGGACTATCAAAATAATATATGGGACCCAGGGTAAAACCCACGTTAAATATTAGACACGCCATAGCATATGTTAGATTTATTTCTAATCTCACTGAATAAAAGTGCACTGATATCCACCTTGCTACAATTGCAGTTTACAGTATATTTCTAACAGGAAGATAGAAGTGATGTTGACAATTTTACAAGTAGTATAGTATACACAAATAGTCAGTATGTCCAAAAAAACTCTGTGGTAATAAGTGAGTATAACCTAGGCTATATTTAAACGGGTGCATTAATTGAAGTTCTTATTTGCATTGACAAAAAAATGACCCCTTTTATGATCAACTTTGGATAATTGTTTTCAAAACATACACAAAACAATGCAGTTTCAAAAATGTCTTGTAGAATAAAGATCCCTTAGGCTTGGTTCATATGTTGTGCTATCACGCGCCGAACCAAATGGTCAATTTGTGTCGCCCCAAACACATTCAGTACGATGTTAATTCATAGGTCAAAACCAAATGCAAGGAAATRCTAGGATCTGCAGGAATGGCAATAAGGAATGAACAGGTTGTAAATGTATACATACTGAATAATAGTTTTCCCCAAACKTAATAGTTAAATATTTTTACAGATATATTAATATAGTTATAGGATGTCATTTTCCCTGAAGTCTGGCCATATTCAGCACATCTTCTTGAAAACAAAATAAAAATGTGTTCCGTGAAACCCTTTTTTGAGTCTCCCATCCCACCCCATAATATGAGGGAGTTGCCACTCCCAAGATCTAATATTTAATAAACTATCAAAAATCTTTATATTAGGTGACTTTACTATTAGTTTTGTTAGATGATSTGGTAGGCTCAGTACTACTTCCATTAACATCCATGTTTTCGGCTCCTAGTTCTGAACTGACTGATGTATTTGAAGTGTGTATTCTCCCTATGTTAACATTCTTTGAAGTATGGCACACAATCTCGCAAGAATGTGTTTCAGACATTGCTCCCACACAATGTTTCCCGCCATACGCTGGAGTGGGATCGTTACATTTTCTTGTCCTTGTTTTAATTCCCTGACCACAAGATTCGCCTTCTGTCTGACATGAACTGAATGCTGTCCATTTCGAAAATCTTCCATTTACCGGGCATGGATGGGTATTGCAAGCCAAAGTTTCTTCCAAGTGTTCGTTGCAATTCTTTCCCCCAAATAAAGGACTTGGGTTAGTGCAAGTACGAATTCTTTTTTTAACTCCCCTACCACAACGTCTGTTACACTTACCAAACTCAGTCCACTCAGACACGCCGCCATCTACKGGACAAGGAGCGTCTTTGCAGCGACGTGTAATCACATTCGGTCCGATACATAGTCTTCCAAGCGGTCCCGGTGTGGGACTGTTGCATTTACGGATTTTTCCTTGTAATCCAATTCCACATGTTTTAGAGCAAATACTCCATTCGGACCAGTGYGAGTATCCTCCAGGAGTTGATTGACTATTAAGAAAGTAAATTCCAGCTAAAACGAAAACACTCACGCACCCTGACAGAACTAAGAGCCTCTTAAACTGAGCGGACATTTCKATGCCTTTTTAGCGGTAACGTACTGTACTCTGAATCCTCTGTAATTCTTTCAATTGTCGTGTTAAGAACTTGTACACAATAGAACCACAKCAGTTCTTCTGCATGCTTTGGTGAGTCGAGCAACGGAGCGTTACACATAAAACCGATTATCTTCCGATAACAACACGGGCAACGATCAAGTTTCAGGTTGGATTTCAATTAATTCAAATAAGAAAAAGAATTTTTTTAAATATAATTCTCTTCTAAATATAATAGCAATGTAACTATTTATCATAAAATCAAACTGATAAATCGGTTACATCATAAAGGAAAATTTTCTACAACATTCTACGAAGTTCTCACGGAGTTTTTCCGAGTTTGGGTGGAAAGCGCGCGTTTTTAACTAGTTTCCAGTACACCTCGAACTAGAATGCATGAGTGAGAACAACAACTTCCGCTATTTCTCGGAAGTTCAATGTAGTGGAAAATATGTGCTTGATTAGCACGTTTTCACTGAAAGACAACATGCATTCTTCATTCTCAGAAGAACACTGGTCTTTCTTGGTACAAATGAATACGTAGAGCCAAGCAAAAAGTAAGACTTCGTCTTCAAATTATGGGAGCCTTTCGACTTCTCTCTGCTATCCAACGTTTGGTTGGAAGAAGGGAAGACGAAAGCCAAAACGTGTTTGAGTTTAAATCTTTGGACAAAGGAGGAGTTCGACTATTTTCGAGTGGCACAGTACTTGCAATTTCCTACGAACCTGGATTAACCTTTAAGGTAAGTTTGGTTACTAGCGCAAGTCTAATTATTTTAGATTGATGTGGGCTCCTGTAGTAGAATAGATAA